TATACGGTACGGCGCTGGAAAGCCAGTAGTTATACATGTATTTAGATTTTGCTAGGCATATTTAGGAAAATTTATGCTTCTAGAATTAGGCGGCTTTGCCGCAGATAAAAATAAATAAAATAAGTTTTGAATTTAAACCGAAGGGTTAATAAGCCTTGGGTTAAGGCAATAATTACTCTTGGAGCAAGCCGATTGCGATCCGCTATACTCGTACTTGTTCTCAATATAGAACAAGAGGTCGGTGACTTTACTTACGCTTCCTCAGAGCGCAAAGCTACGGCAGCCCGCTGCCGTATCCGACTTGTAGTCGACTATCGCTGAATCCTCGACTACGAATCCGTCATCTGGTTGCCAAAGGCTTGGAATGTGCTTCCGTGAAGTCGCGGGCGTACTGTCCGGAGACGAAAAAGGGCTCTGCCGAAACTAGCGCGGCTCGGTGTTTTTTTCGAGTGGTAGACACAGGGCTCATTGAGCATAGAATGTGTGAAGATAGTCCTCTGGACGTCACGGTGTCTTAGACACGTGACCCTCGTACGACGCGACAGTTAAATATGAATTGTGGGCGTTAACGATTTAATGGGGGAGGGTGTTACGGGGCTAAACATACCTTGGTATGAAGAAGTGGGTCACACAAGATGGTGTGATCATACCAGGGTGTTTGTTACACGAGGTGGCAGAATCACACAGTGGCCTTAACAAGTAGTCAGTACGTGGCTGGACTGCGCGTAGTTAAAATTTAATTAAGTTTTCCTCTTTAATTAGAAAAATCAAATGTTTTAGATATAGGCGGCTTCACCGCAAATAAATTCAGAAAATACAGTTAACATTTTGAACATAAGAGTTTATCTGCCTTGAATTAAGGTTGTGATTTCTCTTGGAGTAAGCAGATTGCGATCCGCTACAACCGCACTGGTTCTAAGTATAGAATGAAGACCACCGATCTTAGCCTAGCTTCCTCTTAGTGATGTAGCTACGGCAGTCCCGCTGCACACAAGGAGCTTGGTACGATAAGAAGAAAAGATGACGTGGCTTGCTATCTGGAAGGTAGAATTTTATCAGGTCTTCTTCAACAAGACTAATGTCTGGAAATTACCTCGAAAACCAAAACTTTTTTACAGTCAAGCATACTTGTATTTGCTCATCGATTCAAATGACTTTTTGTTGAATACAACCAGCTTAGTGAACACTGTACTTCGCGCACTTACTACCATAGAGAAGTTTAAATGACAATGCGTCGGGGCTACACACCACACACCAAACATTTTTAGCCAGTAGAGCGATTCTCGCATACTGTCTCCTCTTAAAAAAATTATAGCACCGCATAAAAGTGGTAAAATATCAGAAGGGTCTTAAGCATCAGGAGCTGATGTCGATGAAAGACAATCGCGACTGATTTCCAGATCTCAAAGTCCTAACCCCTGCGAGAATATTATCATCATCGCGCACAACAGAAATATTCATAGTCTCTGTATCGCTACACTCCAAACCTGGATGTGCTCTCGAATCATACAAACGACGTAGCAAGAATTGAGCTCTTTTTTTTATACAACTGCGAATACTTTTCCGAGATTTCAGACTAGGTTCAAACGTTAATTTGTCTTGATTGTTCAATCGCAAAGACGAGTCATGTATGGCACAACTCGAGCTGACAGATTGACCGGTCGGCGGACATCACGTCATACCAGGTCGCAATCTCCCGAAATAAGGATGAAGCTCCATGTTACATTGTTTCACACTGAAAGGTTTAACGCAAACAACGACTTAACGTTGATGTAACGCTTTGATCGTTCGTGATTTTGACTTAAAGCGATTAAATTACCAAGGCCAGTTAATTCATGGCCGAATCTCATGATTTGGCTTCTCAAAATAATTAAAAAATGCGTAGCTTACTTACTGACCCTTGTCAAAAGAATTACTTGGGGAATCGCTGACTCGATAAGCGTCGGGTAGGTAACTTCCAGTAGCCGCAATAGTCCTCAGATTCTATCGAGCGCATCGATACAATAATGCACCTGAGACTGTGGGATGCGCAGGCGTCTTCACAATTCATATTTGTGAACGCGAAGCCATCAAGACGCAGTGCACTGACGTCGCGATCGCGGAAAAGCGACATTCCCGCAAAGGCACTTGCTTGAGATGTCATCCGACCAATGCCGTTTAACTTGTATTTTCCGCCCCAGTTGGAAGACGTACCTCTCAATACGGCTCTCGTCGAAGTGATTCCGAGCCATGCAGTACCAATGTTACGAGGCGTTCGGTAAACGCCGGTATTCGGGCGGTCTACTGGGGCTATTATAAACTCTGGTAAGTGTGGTGGTAGAAGCACTCACAAGAACTTAGTCTTTAAAGGATCGCAGTTCTATGTTAAAGACACGAATCGGAGTGGTCTTATCGTGGTCACAGCGAGTGTGAAAGGTTACAGTCGTCTGTTAAGAGTCATGATTGACTCCGACGCATTGCGTAACTGCGCGCGGAAAGCAAGTGCTGCTGAAACTGGCGCAGTGCTTTCGAATTCACTAGATAGAAGCAATGACTTTAACTTAGTAAGGTCGGCCACTGTTGAGGTGGTCACCGCGATTATAGTAGATCTTAGTAGACTTGAACTCGAAAGAATTAACAAGGTCCACGAGATGGAGAAACGGTATGACCTGATTTAGGTATAACGTGGCTTGAGAAGCAGGAGTCATAGATTGATTGGCGAGCGAAACGATTAGGAGTAGCTTTTCTGACGTAGGTGAAGTCCCCGAGAGTAATGAACTCATATTCACCATGCGTTAAAGCGCTCGGTAGTTGTATACTGCTGGTAATGATCCACACCTCATTGGTTGATGTCATGCAAATGAAACGATTAGGAGTAGCTCTTCCGACGTCGGTGAAGTCCCCGGGAGTAATGAACTCATATTCACCATGAAGCGCTCGGTAGTTGTATACTGCTGGTAATGATCCACACCTCATTGGTAGATGTCATGCAAATGACATTCTCCAGGTTGGGAACAACCGAAGTCGTTTGGAGTGACCACTGACGGTCACTCAGAAAATATGTCAACAGATCAAGTGGTGCCCGAAACTGTCCCTCTTAAAAACGAATGATTTGTTGGTGGGGAATGGCAATGTGCCCAACGGAAAGCATTTCCAAGGGAGAGATGACGATTGTTGCCCCCCCCCCAAGACGGAAGAATGTTGTCGACATGTGTGAACTGAAAAGTCGAAAGAATCGACTGCAGCTGTATATGCCACTGTCTCTTCTAATGCAGTGGACAAGCCGGATTGTGGGTTAGTCGGTATGACTGACAACAAAGGTGATGCTCTCAGTCGCTGTTTGATTAAAAAAACGGAGGTACACAAAACTGGTCAGTTTTAGCTTTTGTTGGCTTGATCAGCATCTTCGTGAAATAGCTATGCTTACTTTGTTATTGAGCTAACAATAGGTATTATACAGCCATTGCGTTTTCGAATTTGTAGTTGCTGTCATCTAAACAAGCCTCACCCGCTTTGCGTGCAGTAAGTGCACTGTTGCATCTAGCCCTCGTTACTCGCTGTTCCAGATCGCTTCAATACTCAATATAGCTATTATTGCTTATTGTAGAGATCATGGCCGTAAACTCAAACGTAATAATCAATTGGTTTGAAAAGCCTCGCCCCTCACTGCATCTGCATGAAATTAACTATCTCAGGTTGCTTCAGGCATTAGGGATACTTGAGCATACCTTTCATTGTGCGAGTTGCAATGGATGAATACATCGTTTAAGTAAAGCATTCTACCAAAATGTTTCAGCGTCATGCACGACTTTTTACATTGAATGATATACGCGCCTGCAAAAGGAGATGGGGCAAAGGCATAATGAAGACTTGTCACACTACAAAAGATTAGTATTTTGAATGCTAGAATTGACAGCATCATCAATGATGCATATCAAGTCGTGGCAATCTAATTTTGCGTGATTGTTCCACGTCATAAAACTTTAAGTTTATATTCGTATGCTGGGATGCAATCACGTCCCAAAAGGAAAGATTGATCTCTGTAACCGATAAGTAATGTAGGGTTCATTCGCGTGTAGGTTCAGGCTGTCATTCTTTCAGCTTGCTTCAATGTCAACGGACTTTAATGATGGTAGCGGGATTTAATATTATTATCTGTACTCCCTTTTTGGCACGTCGTCAGTAAGTGTGTTGGGCGTACCAGTGTGCAGTAAAGCTAATTTTGCTTTTTGTCTCATTTTTCAGAATTATTCAATCTCATTGAATCCGATATTATCTACCCGCCAGTAGAGAAATACATAGACACAATCTCTAATTTATAACGAATAATTAGTATCGAGCCACACGATAAATACCAAATATATAGTGTTGTCGATAGATTTGATTGGCATCAGATAAGCAAATTTTATTACACTTTTATCCAGCAAATCCGTTTCTATCGACTTGATCGCTAAGTTTTACAGGACTTTAGTGCTCAGATGATACTGCATTACTTCAAATCTTGGATTACATACTCGAGACAATAGAATCATTTGTTACCATAGCGGTGTGTGAGGTATGTGACCACAAAACTTAAGAATATTTAATTCGCTAATTTTATATACTCATGATGTTTGGGCAGCATGTTTATGAAAGAGAATAATTGAAATCTCGTCTTAGTCCGTTCACCATTCGGTGGTTTTTGGTGATAACGCTGGCCTCTAAACCGGCTTAAGATGGGGAATGGTAGATGTAACCTTACTTCATTCTTTTCGGGAAGCTCCTTATTTAAGCTACAGCCTTCTCATTAGCTCAGAGGCATGACTACACAACAATTGGGCTGCAAAACGTGCTGGCCTCACTGCGAAGGCGAGCTAATATTATGATTTATATTATAGTATCTTGGTACAAACCTACACAGCAGTAAAGAAGACTGATTGCAGACGTCGACTCGCTCAGCAAAGCTGTACACTATCAAAGCCGGAATTACAATTGGGTTTCAGGAAGTTATATGGCAGATGCAGTGCACATGTTTATGATGGTGAACAATTTCGTCTATCGGATATGACTATTAAATGAAAAAATTGCAAAAATAAATTTCGTGCTGTCAATTCATACATACATAAAAGCAATTATATAAGCAATATATCATGAACTTTGGTGGTCTCATGGGTGGCAGCACGGCTTCCAGCGTGCCACAGCAGCCTTCACAGCAGTCGCAGCTTATGATGGCAAAAGTGGAAATGGCGTCTTATGCGGATTTATTTGAGCGTTTATCGCGCGTGTGTTTCCAGAAGTGTAAATTTAAGTACAACGACGGTCAGCTAAATGTGGGCGAGATGAGCTGCATTGATCGCTGCGCGGGCAAGTATATGCAAGCGTATAGCTCACTTGGTGTCAAGATGGCGCAGGTTGAGAAAGAGATTATGGAGCAGGCTGCTGCTGGTGCAGGTGTGCAGCAATAGTAGGGAAACAAAAGCTTTGTGAATATTTCGCCATTCCTTGTTTAAATGATTTCGATACTTGCAATAGAAGCCACCTGCAAATATTCTAGGAACCATATACGAAATCAAGTGGAAATTCAAATCGTGCTTAACATTTGTTGCTAGAGTTCTTTTGTCTTGACGGTCATTGAATGATTACACCAAACATCTCGTTCCAAATTGACTTTACCTTCGTCTACCTTGGCTTATTCAACAGTATCTATCATCCTGTTCTCTTTATTCTACGCGTTCTATTATTCTACGCGTGAAGATCTCGATAATGTAGATCCACTTGACGATGTTCGCTTACACTATTGTCGTGCCGCAGCTCAGTACTTGTGTCTGCTATAACTACTTAAACCAGCCCCGCCTACGGTACCACCAACAGCAGCAGTAGGGCCTAACGAAATTCCGTTCGGCGCAAACGATGGTTTTCCACTAGAATATTTGGCTCCATCGCCATCGCCTCTATACGCCATGCCAGGTGCATATCTTGCTTGTCGTGTGTAGCGGCTGCTTTGTGAGTCACCCATTTTATCACGATCCAGTCCGAGCCCGTTCGATGTTCCACCTGTGAGCACACTGTTTCCTGCTGCTGCCATTGCATTCCGCTGGTGTGTTCGCGACATGCCATACGACGATGTCGATGAGACAACAGGCTGAGGCCGCAAACTGCTGTATCCTCCAATGTCTACCACTGACTGTTTCTGTCCATACAAACCATTACTAGATCTATGACTTCCTGATGTCTTTTGTGGCGGTGTAAATGCTGCAGATATCTCGGTCGATTCATCATGTTCATAAAACTGCTGACTATTTCCACTTAGCGTTGTTTCTGTTATTGGCATTGTCACATTTACGTTCACTTGAAAAAATGGATACTGCAACGCCTGACTTGACGTTGGCCGCTGATTTGGATCGTACTTGAGTAAATCCGTCATCAATTGAAGCGCTTCGGGACTCGCATTTGGAACCAACTGCGCTAATGATGTTGGTATAAATTGTGGGAAACGATAGTTTATTTGTGCCGCAAGTTTCATCCCTTCTGGCCACGTACTGTGTGTTGGATTGCCTAGCACTGAGCATATTTTATAAAGTTGGTCACCTTCACTGCTACCCGGAAACAAAGGTCGTAAAGTAAACATCTCAGCCATAATACAACCCATGGCCCAAGCGTCAATTGGCGAATTGTACGTAGTAGAGCGTAGCAAAACTTCTGGAGCACGATACCATCGAGTCGATACGTAATCAGTAAATGGTGGCCTTGATCGAATTTCTCTTGCCAGCCCAAAGTCAGCAACTTTAACAGTGTCACCTTTCACAAGCATGTTCTCGGGCTTAATATCGCGATGAAAGAAACTATGTTTGTGCATAAAAGCCAATCCCTGCATCATTTGGTACATGAAATTTCGTATTTTGGACTCTGGAAAAAGCCGATCGCGTTTCTTCATGATATCATAAAGATTACATTCCATGTACTCGAATATAAAAAACAGTTCGTCATTTTCACGAACTACTTCCTTAAGTTTGACAATATTCGGATGGTTTAATTTCTTCAACGACTGCAATGGAAAAGAATGATTCAATCCAGAGTTGACATCATTTTCAAGTAAAACGTACATTCACTTCGCGCAATTGCATGCATTCTTCCCATGAATAAAATTTTTTTTTCATGCGTTTAATCGCCACCTGTAGAACAAGAAATAATATGATACAACGTTTCATTTTTTCATGTCATTTCATGACATTGAAAGCACAGACCACTTCTCCTGACTGACGATGAACAGCTTTCAAGACGGAGCCATAAGTGCCATCACCTAATTGTTTTGTAACCTTATAGCGATTCATCTTTGGCACTTGTTGTTGCACTTTTCCCACCCGGCGAGGAAAGTTTAAAATAGCAGCATTAAGCGTCGCTTTGTGTCATACACGACAAAACCTAAAAATCAACAAAATCGAGTCCTTTCTAAACTTAATTCTTAGTCATTCAGTTGATATCTGATGAAGACGTGGGAGGCCTTTGGCGCCGGCTTGGCCGTCGTGGCCTCCGTTGTATCAAATTTGGGTTTAAATATTCAAAAGTACTCACACATGAGTGAAGCTGCGCGACCCGTAAATGAGCGCAGGCCCTACATCCGACGTCCTGTGTGGTGGATCGGCTTATCGCTTGTGATTTTGGGAAGTTTGGGCGACTTTGCCGCCTTTGGCTTTGCCACACAGTCACTTGTTGCTGCGCTGGGTGGTGGATCGACTCTTGTGGCCAACGTCTTTACAGCGCAGTGTCTTAATGGAGAAAAACTTTACAAGGTACGCGTGGCCTCAAATTCGGAGATACATCGTTGAATTATCTCTTGTCCTTTACTCAGACGGATGTCAGTGGCGTATTATTCGTGATAATGGGAGTAGTGATGATTGCTTGGATTTCTGAGCCAAATGTTGAGTATCCGCTGCCGGAACTTGAGTTAAGATTCGTTCGAACACGTGAGTTTGGCGAGGTTCTGTCTTTTCCTCATCGATTGATCGCGTATTTTTTTATCTAACTGCTTCTTTTTTTGCAGCCTTCGTGGTGTATATTACTTGTGTTGGAGTGTGTACTGTGAGCATGTTAGCTACAATCAAAGGCTCTGTTGCCAACCGGCTGAAGAACCAGGTTTATTGGTCCAATAAGCGCCAAAAGAAATTGATGAAGGTCCGTTCTCGTCCTAAACTTATGTTGCTGTGCGATGTAACTTGCAATAATCTTATATATCATTAGAAATTTGAACTTCGGGTCCAAAGACTTGAACAGAGGCTTTTGGAGATGGAAGTTAAATTATTGCAAGTTTCAACTTCACCTGCACCGTTGCCCACAGGTCTCTTCCATCCTCCTGCAATAAGCAGAGAACTGCGGGATTTAATTAACGCAACAAATGCAGAAGATGCTGCGACTGAGGAAGAGGTTGCCGCTCAGGAATCTCGAGTTCCATTCTATTACGCTATTTGCTCTGGTATCGTTGGGGCAATGACAGTGCTATTAGCTAAGTGTTCGGCTATCATGATTGCCTTGACTCTAAAGGGGGATAATCAATTTAAGTATGGCCTCACGTACATTTTTTTGGGTGGAATGTTTGTCTGCATTCTAGTGCAAACCCATTTTCTCAACATTGCGACGGCCATGGGTGACATCATGACTGTGTTCCCCATTTTTCAAGCCTGTTGGATTACTTTTAGTGTCGTGGGAGGCGCCGTCTTTTATCATAACGACGATGAGCCTCTTCCTACAACAGAAAAAGTTTTTTATCCCTTAGCGCTTCTCTTTATCGCTGTTGGTGTCGGACTGCTGGTGCAACACAATTCCTCACCATTTGATTTTCCAGCAAAAGGTGGTGGCAAATTTGATTTGGCTTCGCGTGATACAACATTAGGCGTTTACGACGACGATGGCATTTCAGACGCGTGTATGAGTTTGCCGCTGCTTCCTGCGGACTCGCGAGAGAATGAGGGCTAACGTCAATTTGTATGCTGTTATTTCAAGCTAGAGTTGATTCTAATCTAAAATTAATATGCGGATTTGAGTACAATGTAGTATCGCTCAATGCATGCTTGGGTGCGAATCGTGCCAAGCTCTATTCATCATCCACTACAATATCGGGGAAGTCATCATCATCCTGGTCAGCCTCACCAAATGTGTCAGACTTCTCGTTCATCCACTGCGCAGTGGGCCCGTCGTCCCCTTCTTCGGCGTCGTGCTTCTTGTTGCTTATGTCGTCAACCTGCATGCGCTCAACATCCTTAGGCGCCGCCTGAGGGTGTACATCCTCATAGTCTTCTTCCACTTTTTCAACTTCTTCCACTTCTTCCTCTTCTTCATTTGTCTCGACAATAGGACTCTTTAAGTGCTTAGTTTCCACTGGCTCAACCTTGCCATCTTCATCATCGCAGTTATTTTGCTCGTTTTCGTCCCAGTCCATTACATCTCCCTGTATTGTAAACTCCTTTGTGGGCTTTAAAATATCACTAAAACTATTATGGTTCTCTTCCTTGTTTGAGTGCTGTTGGAAATTGATGCTTATCGGTGGTGCTCGCGGGTGCACCACCGCCTCGCTGGCATTGAGTGCAATCAGCTGGAGTGTTGACGAAGCAGTACTGATTCCGATGCTACGACGTTGCCAATAGCAATTTCCTTCAAGTAAATTTGCCCCATGTGAACCCAAAGCATCGGCTGTCAATGCATCTGATAAAAGAGCAAGCACCACAGGGTCAACGACAGAAGGATCTTGGCTTAAGACCACGTGTCGACACTGGACGGACTTCAGAATCAGCTTACTAGTCAACGAACGACATTGCTGTGGAAGCAAGCTTCCATAAACACTCACGCAAGTAGCAACAGCCATTAAAATTGCGTTTAGGTTCGATGCGATCACAGTCTCGTCACGCAATGACACGAATCTAGTATTTGTAGCCGCATTGCCATTTTTTAAAGCCGCCAAAGTTGCTGCAGCGGCCGCTTGACGCTTCCGCTTCTTGCTCTTATTCCCACTGTTCTTCAAGTCGTTGTGCTGAACTGAAGCTACGGGTTTAAAGGAACATATCGAGCTTGCCTCATCGTCTAGAGTGCGTTCGCAGCGCAAGATCAACTCGTTGAGCAAAGGGACACCTAATTTTTCAACAGTGCTGGCCCCTAGACAACGCGCGCAAACTGATGTAGCATCGGCCAAAGCCTTCAAATCTTCACCGTCACCTACGCTTTCAGAAGCGAGTAGAAGCACGCGAGTTACCTTGCCAGCATGACGTAAAGCGCATATACCAGCACGCTCAATTGTAGCGCTTAAAACACGAAGGGCTTGTACGTGAACACACGGTAGCACAGCATAAACAACGCTTACTGGGAAACGCACACCATCGTCTGATAAACCCGTATGCTTGCCGACCTCGTGTGCGCGAACTCCCATCGCACGACGCACAAATGAAATAATGTCTGACAACACTTGTTGGACTTCACGTTCCGAAACATGTCGACGAGTTTTGATGCGAACACTAACATTGAGCAATTCGTGTAGCACGCGTAATGCATAAACCATTCGATTTAGCGTTAAGCTGACACGCTGGTAGATTGGCAACTGGTGACTAATGACTTCTTGAGCCCACGGCTTTTTTTTTGTGACTTCCTCCACCGGGGCCATGGTGACGCGATTTTTTGCGAGTAAGTCAAGCTGTTGGTGGGCAACCTCCAAGGCTTTCTGGACCATCTGAATCCACACTTGCTGTGAATCATCAAACACATTACATAGCGTTGCCAAACACACTGTCGCTTCCTCAACCACCTTTTCATTGACAGCGCATCCGTCAACATTGGAGAACAGCACATTCACGCATGCAGACTCAATCTTTACAGCAAAGCCTCTTAAAGCATTGGGAGTCTCACACATGAGCATCGAAACGAGTTTAAATTGTGCGATTGCCATTGAAGCATTGGTGGTGTGTAACATTAGCACCACCAATGACTGCAGCAGCTTCGGCAGTAATTCCAGCGCTTCACGGCGCGTCTCTGGGTTGTACTTTTCCACATGAAGTAGCAGTACACGCATCACGCCACATATTGCAACTATAGTATGCGCCATAGTCTCGTCGATATTGTTACTCGATTGCTGCCGCTTGAAAACTTTTACGGCGCGGTCCAGCAGATTTACCGTCAGGGCTTCAAGCCGTTCCAGTGGACTTTGACGTATTGTTATTAGCATAAGCTCCCAGCCTATACGACTGGCTTTTGATGAGCCTCCTATGAACTCTATCAATCTGTTTTGCCATTTCGATAACGCTTTGCCGTCTGTCACAAGTCCGAATACGTTATGGCGTTCCAGGGCCTCGCACAGAATCACCTGCTGGCTCATAAAGGTCTCAATAGCAGCATTATTAGTATCCAAATCACTAGAAATTGCTAAGGCAAGGATCGATGAAAGCAAGTTTCGTGCTAAGGCCGTCTCAACGGCGCGAGAGTTCGCTGCCATGCAATCAATGCGCAAGAGTATGACTGGATCGGAGATGAGTTGACGTAAATGTTTTTAGCCAATGCTGGATGTTTGGTTGAGATATGTAAGTTTACAGGATAAAAATCAGTTTTGCTATTAAATAAGACAGAATTATTAACATGTTTATCACTCTTTAATTGGGCAAGTATGTGTATAGTTGGTATTAGCTTAGCTTTTGCAGCTTAGCTTAGCTTAGCTTAGCTTTTCAAT